TACTATATTACTAATTGTAATATATATATATTTAATTTTCAAAAAAATTTCAATTTATAACCTCTCTTTTACTGCATCACCTATATTGATTGAGTGATGCTTATTCCCGGATGAATCCGGTAGATATTCAAGAAACTGTCTAGAAATGGAACCACCCCCCCCCCCCCATTTTGGGGGGTGCTTATTTCTGGGAGAATACGATAAAAAAGAAAATTACCTTGATCAAGTATTCAACGTTCATATATATATCTATTCAATGTTCTCCGCAATTAACCCAGTTTATCGTTTTTCATCCTTTCACTTCGTCAAGCATTTCTGCCTCATCCAACTTTACACTTGTGTCGGTTTAAATAAAATTGAGCAGATCGGAGCCAATAGTTTGATAAACTCTAATTCAGACATTATAACCTATATTATTCTTGTTCAACCCTGCTCATCCAGTAAGAGATTCCCTCATTTAAGGAGATGAGGGGGATTGTCACCAGTTGACCGCGCGAGTATTGAAGCAATTTTGGTAATAGAAAATTTTAGATGAACACAAGCCTCGAGCAAACTCTTAGTGAGCCTGACATTGTAATGTTTACTGATTTAAAATTCGACATATCACGTGAAATCGGCAGGAGGCTTCAAATTATTTCTTCATATTTCCAGCTGCCAGATTAAAGGTCCAACCTTTTTCAGTAGATGACATTTCCATGACGATGGAAAATCCATCAAGTAACGCGTTCGAGACTTTTAGAAAAGTGTAATTTTGTATACGAGAATATCTTCTATATTGGAAAAGAACTCAACGATTTAAAAAAGACTTTGCGTAGTAGTGTGAAATAAGCAAAATAATATCTCCTCACCACCCCCAATAAATCATTGATTTTCTTCCTTCTGAAGAAAAGCTAGAAAACGAAACGGATTTTGCGCAAGGTGAGCAAGGAAGAAAACGGTGAAATCTCTCGTTTAAACGTTTGATCCATTATTATCGTTATCCGTTATTCAAAGTTTAAAGATGGCGATAATTTTAATTATCATAATTGTTAATTGTGCATTTAATATGAAAAAAAAAATCACACAAAGTACGTCAATGTGACGCAGCAGACATTTTTTGTAATATTGTGTATTGATGGAAAGTATCATAAAGGGTAATCTGTGTCAACAACATATTGCATCATAAATAGTATCAGATTGGTTCGCCACACCATAAATCCAAATAAAATATAGTGAATTCTTAAGTCTGTTCACACCAAAAAGTATACTAATAATAGTTTTTTTAGTTTAAATCTTTTTTTTTCTACACTCGTCATCGTGCTCCTCGCACCCTCTCCCCATCTACCACCGTTGTTAATCTTTTGTTCCTGTAGTGCCTCCAAAGATTTTGGAGACACTGAAGAGAGAAGAGGCAACCAACTGACAAAAACTAACACAACAAATAATAGAACTTTTTGTCGTTCCTAATTACTACTACTGTCTCTTATTTAATTATTCTTGCGAAAATAAGAAGAGAGATAATTAATTTTTCCTTCTTTTTTACCATTGTCGAATAAATCTCTGGTCCACGGGAAGAACGAACGACACTAAAACAAAAATTAGAATAATAGATAGAGTAATTAATAATAAATAAAAAATAATACAAAAATGGCGGTCGAACTCGAACCATCAACTCAACTCTCATTTACTCGTATGTATTAATATCCCTGAATAATATTATGTTCACTTGTCAAAGTGAGAAGAGGATTCAATTTTAGAGGACGACAATTTAATCCGATAAGCAACATGCTAATATCATAATATTATATATAATAAATAGGCCCCTTTACACAACTCGTTAAAGAGATACTGACGGTCAGAAATCCTAATCATGAACCAGTGGCATTCAAGGTCAAAACCACAGCACCCAAACAATATTGTGTGAGACCAAATTCTGGTAGAATTGAAGCTGGCCAGAGTGTATCTGTACAAGGTATTGATTCTATAACGATAGTCTTAATGATACACGAATTGATGATGAGAAAATTATTAAATGGGAAAATCGATGAACATGAACACTTAATTTCTCTTTATCAATTCTCATTCATTCTATCACAATAATAAATAAAATACAAAAGTCATCCTGCAGCCAATGAAAGAAGATCCTCCACCAGATTTTAAATGTAAGGATAAATTCTTGGTGCAAAGCGTTGCCATTACACCAGATCGAGAAACATTAAATCTACCGGAACTGGTAAGCAAATTTTCTTTTAATTCTTATGAACCATTAACTTAAAGATTACTAATTCGATTCGTGATAAATATTATATATTCGAAAGTGGGCGATAACTGAAAAGCAATCAAAAGAGTTGATTAAAGAGAGTAAAATACGTTGTGTCTATCTTCCTGCCCCTGGAACAGTACAAGCAGTCAATCAACCGACTTCACCTGTCAATCCAACACATGCGCTGCCGCAACAGGATTTGCAGAACCAAACATTTGTTCAAGCTGAACAGACAAGGGTAAGTGGAATTTCCTTGATCATTAAATCATCGGTTCTTTATAAATAATACATAATAAATATTATTAGGCTGCATCTCCCGTTGAACAACAGACATATTCCACTTACCCCACAATAAATGAGAAACCACCGGCGGCCGCTGTATCCTATGATGCCCAGCCAATTTCAACGGTTAAACATGAACATCGGCCAGTGCCGGTCAGCGTGTCCAATGGACATAGTGGACATAATAATACTCCTTCGACACCCTCTCTAATTGGCACCTTTCCGAATGACTTAAAAGAACCAATGCAACCAATTCGATCAATAAAATCCTATAATAATAATGCTAATAATGTTAATGACACTTCTGACGATGAGATAGCTCGATTAAGACGCCAATTGTACGAAGCACAAGAAGAGAACAAAAGGCTTAATCATATAATCGATAATTATAAACAAGATTTGAATGCCGCACAACTGAGACAACGCAAAAGTGAGGAGATTGCTGAGAAAGCAACCCGAAATATCTCGCCGACGAGTGCTGGTTATCCAGCAATTAGAACCCAAGAGAGGATTCCAGAAGGGTATTATCCATTTGAAGTGGTGATTGGTGCAGCTATCGGTGCCTTTTTGTTTGGTGTATTGTTCTTTTGAGTGTGTGTTTTTGGGTATATACAGTGTACACATCCTTAATTAGTTGTGAGATACCACTCTCTTGTTGTTTTATTCTCTTATGGCAATCTACCACTCTTTTCATATCAATTGCATCAAGATTATTATATCCTTCTTCCTGATAGGATAAGAATAATTAATTAATTTACACGCTTACTGGAATTAATCTACATCATAATCATTATTTTTCTTTGAAAAACGATCGAACATTGGATCCTTCGAATCCATCTTTTTATTGAATGCTCATCTTTTCCTTTTCTAATTAATAATTCTCCTCTTTTATTCAGGTTATCATCTAACTTTTATTTTATATATGCAGTAATATTAACTTACCTGCACAAAATTAGCTTATTTACTACATACACATATACATACATATATATATATAACATATACACTCTTCTGGATTGATGTTTTATTGTTTAGTTTTCGATTTTATATAACGATAGTTATTTTTTTTTATTAACTGGCTTAGAGTTTTTGCACAAAAAAACATTATTTTTTGTGTGGATTTTTGTATAACATTAGTAATTTTTTCTTATTATGTATTGAATGTTTGATGACAGCAATTTTAACGGAAAAAATTTACCAGATATATATATAGTATATATCTATTTTTAAATACTCTTAATGTAACCATATTACATTGCATATATAAATATTTTTACCCCGATCTGATGATCAAAATTTTTTATTTTATTCTTGATTATGACTTGTTAATATACTTTTAAACAGGAAATAATTAAAAAAAATCATTTGATGAAAAAATTAATTGATTTTCTTGATAATATTAACTAATTTTGAAACAGATTTATTATTATATTATTTTTGAAAAATAATTTTTATTTATAATTTACATATAACTATTATATAATAAATATAAATTAATTAAGTTTTTAAAATAAATATATATTTATATATATTTTTTCAAATTTTTTTAATAAAATTAATTAATTTTACATGATATATAGTTTGAGACAAAAAAAATAATTAAAAAGCTTAGTAATATAAATTTGAATTTAAGTTCAAAATTTATTTTTTTTAATAAGTTATTTGATATATTACTTTTAAATAAATTTATGACAAAAATCTAATAAATTTTTATTCTATATTCTAGAATAAAGATTAAAATTATTTTATATAAAACATTTTATAAAAATATATATAATAATTATTAAAAAGAATATAATACTTGAATTTTTTTACTAATTATAATTAGTAAAATATATATTTTTTATTATATATAAAAGTTTAATTTTATTAATAACTTAAAAAATAACTAAATTTTTTAATTTAATATATATTTTTTTCAAATTTTTCTGAAAGATAATTAATTTTTATTAATTAATAATTAATAAAAATTAATTATTTTTATATACAGTGGCGACCAAAAGTAATGACTCAGGGGCTAAATTTACTAATAAAACATAGTGAAAATTGAAATTTTCT